AATAATAATTATAATAATAATAATAATATAAATAACATTAAAATGAAAAAAATGAATATCTTCAGCTGCCCCTCTTTGCTTATTCTTAATAAGAATAGAGCAAAGACGAAAAGATAATAAGTTTTTTTCATTTGACTTCACTTGATTAGTATGGAGATGTTGAATAAATTCTTCTCTTTCTTTCAGATGAGTTCTTCTCATTATGAACTTTCCGCTGGGGATGATGTTGACCTCTTTCTTTCTGTGATAGAGTCATTTAAAAGGTTGAATAAGCTCTTCTCATTATGAACTTCTTCTTCTCCTGATGAGTTCTTCTCCTGATGAGTTCTTCTCATTATGAACTTCTCTGGAAAAACTGACCCATCAAGTGATGGATTTGAGCAAAAAGCTGAACAAATTCTTCTCATTATGAACTTCTTCTTCCTTCTTTAAATGAGTTCTTCTCATTATGAACTTCTTCTGGAAAAGCTAATCCATCAAGTGATGGATTTGAGCAAAAGGTTGAACAAATTCTTCTCATTATGAACTTCTTCCTTCTTCAGATGAGTTCTTCTCATTATGAACTCGAACTGGAAAAGATAATCCATCAAGTGATGGATTTGAGCAAAAGGTTGAACAAATTCTTCTCATTATGAACTTCTTCTTCCTTCTTCAGATGAGTTCTTCTCATTATGAACTCGAACTGGAAAAGATAATCCATCAAGTGATGGATTTGAGCAAAAGGTTGAACAAATTCTTCTCATTATGAACTTCTTCTTCCTTCTTCAGATGAGTTCTTCTCATTATGAACTCGAACTGGAAAAGATAATCCATCAAGTGATGGATTTGAGCAAAAGGTTGAACAAGCTCTTCTCATTATGAACTTCTTCTTCCTTCTTCAGATGAGTTCTTCTTATTATGAACTTCTTCTGGAAAAGCTGATCCATCAAGTGATGGATTTGAGCATAAGGTTGAACAAATTCTTCTCATTATGAATTTCTTCTTCCTCCTTCAAGTAATGAATTCTTCTCATTATGAACTCTACCTGGAAATTTTAATCCATCACATGATGAATTCAAACAAAAGGTTAAACAAATTCTTCTCATTATGAACTTCTTCTTCCTTCTTCAGATGAGTTCTTCTCATTATGAACTTTCTCTGGAAAAGCTGATCCATCAAGTGATGAATTCAGGCAAAAGGTTGAACAAGTTCTTCTCATTATGAACTTCTTCTTCCTTCTTCAGATGAGTTCTTCTCATTATGAACTTTCTCCTCTCTCTCTCTTCTCTGAGAGAGCAATTTCTCTCTCGCTTCTCTCTAAAACAGAGATAAGCCAGACGGCCGGCAGCCGTCCTTCGGTGTTCTTCCGCCGCCAGCCATCGCCGCCGGCCACCGCCTTCGGTGGCAGGAAAAAAAAAATTTATACTAAAACATAGATCGGACCGTCCTAATGATGGTTCCGATGGCTTTTTCTTTTAAACGGCTCCCGATCGGAGCAAATCTAAGAAATATACCTTCGGTTTTTCGAAGGTTTTGGTGAGGTCCGGTGGTCGTGGCTTCCTCAGTAAGCTTCTCTTCTTTCTTTTTCTTTTTTTTTCTTTTCTGTTTCTTTGCTGCGTTGTTGTTGACTGAGATCGTTGGTAGTTTTTTTTAGTATCTTGTTTCTCTGTTTCACTCTCGGTCTCCTTTCTTTCTTTGCAGGTTGGGTGATGGCTTTATAGCCATCACCGGTGCTCGTCTCAAACCGGTCCGAAAGGGGTTCTTCGGTGAGTCACCGGACTTCCAGTGGTGACTCACCATTTGGGAAAGACGTGTGCGGCTGGAGTGGTGGCGAGACTGAAGCAGCGCCGCGTGGTCTTCTGGAATCTACGGCGGCGCTGGGACGTGTCCCTAGGGTTTTGATACCCTAGGGTTTCCTCTGGCAAACTGTGGACCGTTGGATCAAACCAGATCCAACGGTTGAAACTAAGCGGCGGCAGCTGGATGATACAAACCCTAAATTGGGTTTAGGGTTTACTGTGGGATTTTGGATCCGGGCCACTGTTTGTAATTGGGCCTCCATTTTGGGCTTGTAATATTAAATAATATATATTAATAATAATTATTATTATTATTATTATAATTATAATAATAATAATAATAATTATAATAATAATAATATAAATAACATTAAAATGAAAAAAATGAATATCTTCAGCATTCTAACAGTGAGGGCTGTTCTTTTCTGTTTCTACAAGACCATGTTTCTCATTAAATCCAAGGTATGTCCTAATGTTTATAGTCGATGCACATGATTTTAATCGTTGCTTCTAGCGAATGAGCATTTTTAGATAGTATGGCCATGTTATCTTTAGGGTATCATAAGAACTGCTGCCATATGATGTCTAGATGTTTGTATTGTTTACATTCCAATTTCGGTACTGGTAAATCAGTAGATTATTCGGAAATATTGATATATTATTATTTCAGCTTCACTGCTTTAACTATAACATCGATCGGTATACAGGCACTCGAAATGGTGCTTTTGGATCTTCCTAATCTTCTGTTTTTTTCAACATATATGTTGCTTGTTCTTTTCTGGGCCGAGATATATTACCAGGTAGACAACTATGCTTTGCTAGGTCGTTATTTCGCATAATTTAATCACGACGCTAAATTGATTCTCACCGATTCTTCTTTATTTTTTGTTTCTTAGGCGAGAAATCTTCCGATCAATAAACTCAGACCTACATACTAAGCATCAATGGATTTATATACTTTGCTCAGGTAAAAGTAACAATGTAATTGCACATCAACTGAAGTGATGGTTTTTCGGATTTCATAATGCCATTTAAAGAAGCCGAGTTTCTTGTGCTAAAAGGTGTGAATATGGATTTCCATACGATTAAGTAAAAGCCCGATCGCAATCGAATTTGCTAGAGTCTTCATTTCAAGTAAGTTTTTCTTCTTTAAATCTGCTTTGAATTTGCATTTTCAATGCCATAACGAAGTTCGAGTACTCATGAAACGGATTCCAAAGAAGTAAATGGACTTATTGGGGGTGAGTGAAAAGGTGATGCATTGGTGTATTTCTTTGCATTTTGCAGTTATTTCACTTTGTGCTGCGTCCGGGTTCATTCTATACGGTGGGAGGTAAGAGTCGATATCAAGCCTCAAACCGAATTTAGCTTCCGTTCCTTCTGTATTCACTTGTTTGTCGCTTACATCATTAGGTTGTTCTACATGTCGAGACGTTTCCCTGTCGAATCCAGAGGTCGACAGAAAAAGCTGTTTGAGGTTTGTTAACTTGTAATTGTAGGCTTAGATACCCTTTCAACTGTTTATCTGTCAGTCGATGTGGTTTTCGACCCTGTTTCCATGGCAGGTTGGCTTCGTAACAGGGATATGCTGTGCCTGTTCGTACTAAGATGCCTCATGGTGAGCCATGTTCGATCAAAATTAAAGTAGAAAAATACTACATAAACTTCTTTATACGTAAGGTTCTGGTCTCAGCCTTTGACGAGGATGCCGATATCGATGTTCTATACCATCCCCTCCTAAATCTTATATATTACATGGTTGGTACATTTGGTTTCCGGAGTGTGCTTACTCATTAACTCACGCTATACAATTAGATCAAACTTAGGTCGTGTTCCACAAGTTTCATTTTCTAAAATCTTCTGTTGTTTTTTCAACAGTTGGTGGAGATTATCCCATCGGCTTTGGTGTTGTTTATACTTCGGAAATTGCCTCCGAAGAGAGTTTCGGAACAGTACCATTTTTTTTTAGAGGGTGGGCCGAGCGAGCCAACCTGACAAATAGGTCATTTGGATCGGATTTCAGTCGGGTCATTTTGGGTCAGCCAATTTTAGGTTTAAATTAAATTTGGTTTAATTTTGTTCGGATCTAGTTCGGGTGTATGGTGAATCGGGTTGGGTGATTATTTGATTGGTTGTTTTTCGATTCGGATCAATATCGAATCGTTTGATTTTTTGGACCGGGTCAATATCAAGTCGGATCAATACCAAATTGGTTGATTTTTGGGTTGGGTTAATACCGGATTTGTTAGATTTCAGGTCGGATCAATATCGGATCAGTCGATTTTCGGTATAGGACGACCTTTAGATAAGGTTAATTAAAGTTGAATTGGTTATGAGTCTAATCAAAATCAAGTATATATAGAATAATTGATAAATATTTGTAAAAATATGTCTTCTTTTTTGTTAATTTTATCATTTAGGTTTAATTTCAATTCAGTCGTTCAATATTTTGATTTAAACCATCATTTAGAGATGATAAATCGATAATTTGACACAAATACGATCCTATAATTCGTGTTAGAATTTGTTATCAAAATTTTATATTGATCTCGTATGAAAAGTTTATAACGAGAACTATTTGATAAAGAAATAATTTTTTGTTAAATTTTTTATTTCCAATTATAAATTTAATATTTTTATTAAATTTTTTAAAAATAATACATAACTTTATTTGTTAAGTTTTAGTCGTAACATAAGTAAACTTTATATTATTTTTATTATAAATCTAATATTATTTCCTTTGTTTTAGTTCTTTTCTATTAATTTTTATTATAAATCTAATATTTTTATAACAAGATAAATAAACTTTATTTATTATTATTTTTAATCTTACAATTAGATTCTTACTTTTATATTCCTCTTAAACTTTCTATTATTTTATTATAAATCTAATATTTTTAATAATTTATCAATTTTATTCAAATTAATTTATTATTGAAAATAATTTTTATCGTTTAATAACTTTTATCAATTTCAATCTGTTCGAGTTGCTTTCGGGTCGGATTAAATTCAGCTCAGGTTGCTTTCATATCGGGTTAAAATCTGGTTCGGGTTTCTTTCGGTTCGGGTTAATTTCAGTTCAAGTTGCTTTCGGTTCGGGTTACTTTTGGTTCGGTTTAATTTCGGTTCTGGTTGATTTCAATTTCGCTAAATTTTGGATCGAGTATAGTTCAGGTCAGATATCGGATCAAATTTCATTATCATGTTCAGGTTAATATCGGGTATTGAATTGGATAAATCGATTCGGATAATCGGATTCGGGTTAAGTTTACCAGCTCCAGGTGTTCCCACAAATTATGTCGGCCATATGTCTTGATAGCCATACAGCACCCACCAGACGAGGGTGGGCGTGGCATATTTAGCCAACCGACCCTTTTTTTTTGTACCAGAAACTTGAAAAATCAAAATGGTCAGGAAAATGTGTGAGCTGCCCGCGAGGACTTGAGCCATGCTCTAATTTCCTCAATGCCCAAGGAATGTACATTCATTCTCAAAACACTTGTTTTGTTTCTTAAGCAGAAATCCACTTCATTAATGAGCAAAAAATATCCGTTTCATTAACTTCCTGCTACTGTAAAAGTGGCATAGAGGATAAGCATGCATTTTATCTGCGCTAGTGATAAATTTTTCAAATAAGAAATTAAATATTTCAAAAGTAATTTCAATACCAAATAAATATAAATGTAATAACTAATTTATTAAGAAATATTTTTAACTTGATACTAGTCTTTTTTTTTCCTAAATGATAATAAATCTATTAAATCAACTTTTTATCAGTAAAGACTATTTTCATATAGTGCACAACTAAATCAGTTAACCATAAGTTCTCGATACAGGCAACCTGAAATGAAATCTTGCATATGGTCTGAATTTTCGAAGCCTTGTCCTGTTGAGTCAGATTTGAGAGTTTTGACTGTTGATCGAATCTGGAAAAAAATCAAAACAAGAGAGGTTTTAAAGGAAATTAAGCACACAAATGGAATCAATATGTTCATAATTAAACTCTAAAATGTCACTTATTCCTCTCAACAGATTTTACAGTCAATAGATACTACACTTTAACCCTTAACAAATTTATGGGATTAATTTTAACCTGAGAAAGCAAAACAAATGTTCAATGTTATCTAGAAACAGACGAGTAATGTCCGTTAGATGCTATATTTACAGACACAACCCTAAGTTAAAACCCCCTTCATACTGCTGCAATGAAGCTGTCGTACCGGTTTATGTACAGGTTGGATATGTAGGGTCTGAAGGAGCTTTAATCAATGCGATAGACATGAAAGTTTCATCGTCTAAAAGAGAGTCGATGTCGATAAGGTCTTCATCGCCATCTCCTTCAAAATTACCCACTTCTTCTGTACCGCTCAGTACCATATTGCAAGCCTGTAGAACATTTTCTCAAAATAGTCGGAGTTTTGATAAATTATTGAGGTAAAAGAACTGTTGAATGCGAATTTGTTGCAACTGAATAATAATCACTTATTCAAAATCAAAATTATGGCATACAATCTCAAGAAATTGAAACTTATCATATAAGACATGCGATGATCAAAGAAGACCTTAGCCGGATTATAGTTGACCTTGGCCAGTTAACAACAAGATGAAGCAACAGCTAATGACAGAAACAAAAAGCAAGTTCAAGGTGCAAAGACACAATCTCAGACAGATTGAGTTGTCATGGGTAACTAACTAACATCATTGAAGCCCACTGAATTGTAAACTTCACTAAATTAGAAATCTAAGCAAAAGAAAACTGCATATACCTTGTTTTCACGAATCCCTTGAACCAAGTTCAGCAGCCTTCGATACTGACCTCGTCCTTCAGGGTTCTGAGCCATGGACTTTACCCTAGTAAGTGCCTTCTGCAGCCTTTCCTCGGTTTGTTTTCTTCCCTCCTTGAGAAAATCATAATCATCCTCTTTCGAGGACGTGGACTGTGGGTCAGGATCCTTGGTAACTGCATCCCGTCGAAATCCTCGCAAACCACTCCCTTTACGCCTCCATCGTAAAATAACTTTCTCTAGAATTCCCACTGACCAGATGATTGTTCTATACTGTTTCCTCACCTGGTGACCTCTAACATGGGCCTTCACACCATAAAATTTCAAATCAATATTCAAATTCAAGATTTTAAAGTTGAGAGGCAAATTATACATCAACAAATCCTTAAACTGACACTTCATCATAAGATTATCAATTCAGTTTCCCGTTTTGCAAAGGTTTTTACACAAAATATAGTAAACATTAATACAATTAAAAGAATGGGTAAAAGTCATGGTAGTAGCAGTCAGCAAAAATGAAATGGTCAAAAACCCTAAATATGAGAGACTAAAATCCATTTATGATATTCTCTATTTTTTTTTATAAGAATTTCAGGCCTCGTTAAAAACCCCCTTCTTGATTAATGAAGCTAATAGAGTAACTCCTTAATCAGCGGAATGAGGAAAAGAGTGCCTTAGAATTTTATTGATCAAGAAATTACAAAGATACAACCTGGTAAACACCCTTAACAGAAACAGATAAACAGGGAACAACCCTAAACCACCCATAAACTACAACAGTAGTTCAACCAATCTGTCCAATTGAACCATCATACAACACCTTCTAATACAATAAAAACCAACATTAACAACCAAATACTAAAATAAACGCCTCTGAATACAGCTTTCGAGCAATTAAGAACCAACTGAAGGAACGAGCTCTAGTGAAATATCGCAATCTTCGGGGACCCAAGAATTAGGTTTGAAAGAAGGATCTACTTCATGCACCATGATTTTGAACAAATTTTCTCCGACCTTCAACTCCATCAACTCATCAATTCTCCCTTGAGCCTTTGTGAGTATTTGAATTCTAGCCCGATCAAAAGACGATGGAAACTCACAACTGTTGTCGATTGCTACTAAATTGCCCCACTTAGTTGCAATGTTTTTGAAAGTATTCCAATTCCAAGCGTGAAAAGGAATACCTTCGCAAACTAACCAGACGCGACGACACTCCACCACTAGGCTCTCTGACCAAGTTTCCACTCTGGAAAACTAATCTGCAAGAGTCTCTAGTTTCTCATCCTTCACGATTCTCAACGAATCAGAGTCTTCAAAAATCATTAGTACCACATTTCCAGCGGCTCTCATTAGCGTGAAGCCAGCTAGTCCTTTGGCTTGAATTTGTTTAGCAAGATTACCAATTTTGATAAAATTCTTACACCACCCCACAAGACAATTACTCAACACATGTAGCTTATCTTCGTCCACTACGCCCTCAACTTCAAAGAGTTTATTCCTCGAAATATCTTCCGTCCCAGACTTTAGGTGAACACCTGTCGAGGACTTTCTCCAGTAGGACTGTCGGGGTTTATATTTGGCCAAAGAGACTCTAGCTTTGCTACCGTAAATATGATTACCATTCATCTTTGAAATCGTTATCCTGGCTTCCTCAATTGTTGCATAGCAAATAAACCCAAAACGAAACGCTTTCGAGTTTGTTTTCTTGGGAATGAATGCATCAATAACTTGACCATGTATGCCAAAAATAGACCCAAGTCTCTTCCAATTGATCGACTCTGGAAGGTTTTCGATAAAAATCGTGAAACAACCCTTTATGAACCCATATCCGATTCTTGGTTGATCTTCCTTCGACGAATTATGAACCCCTTTTCTTTTCCTTCTCGATATTTCAAAAAACTTTTCATTGGAGTACCCTATCGTGGTGCTCTCCTTGGTTCCAACAAGATCGATATCAGCGATAGGAAACGCTGGTATTGCTTGTACTGCAGAAATCTTTCTGACCTTATGTTTCCCTCCTAACTTCACTGTATGCGTTCCCAAATTCTGCTGATTTTTGGGCGAAGGAGATTGTCTGTACGTAGTGCCGTCGGGCTCTACTGTCCAACCAGCCTCACGGGCCAAGGCAGCCAATACATCATTCATAGCAGAATTCGGGGGAAGAGGGAAATTAACGTAATGCCTCAATCCGACCAGCAAACGTCTGGTGAAAACTCGCCTGTGTCGTTTCCGAGTCTTTGTTGTCTCCATTGCACGTTTCTCCTGACCAGAATAAGATGAAGTGGTTGCACCGACGATTCCAGAAGTGTTGAAAAACCTCCCTCATGTTAGTGCATTATCCAACTTATTTAGTTCCTGTTCCCTTTTCTTCAAATCAGACACTTGAGTTCTAAGTTCCTTCACTCTTGCTTCTAATTCTTTGGCAGAATCAAGAGAAATATCACCAAAAGCACCAAGGAAATAAGGTTCATGAGGGAGTGGAGAAAATCTTGACGTTGAAGGAGGAACTGTAGAGTGACTGGATGCGGCCACCACGGATGAAGCAGCAACCCTTCGAGGATTCCTGAGTTGAGACGGGGGTTGGGGTGCCATAGTTAGGTCTGGAAAAAACAGGAAGGAGGAGGAAATGGGATGAACTACTGCCAACCCCGTTTACTGGAAATAAAAGGAGAGAATAAAAGATTCTCGACACTTGGATATGGGATTCTGGTCGGGAGAAGGCGCTGTGTCCAGTGGTGCGGCGGTGATGAGCACGGACGACGGGAAGCGGCTAAAAACGGCAGAGGATTTCGTCAAGATCTGCGATGATTGAAAGATTCAATCACAAATCTAAGGCCATAATCGAAATCACCGTGGGCCTGTGATCATCCCAGGAAAAACCGGCGTCAAAACGGTGGTCGGAAAGTGGCGGCGGACGGCGGCGGCAGTTGGTGGACGGCTGTGGCGAACAACGGGGGATGACAGTGGAGAGAATAGATCTAAAGCGCCTGGGCTCGTGGAGATTCAAAATTTGAAATCGCCTATGTTAGAGAGAAGCTGGAGCTTCTCTCACTAACACGTGATATTTTGAGTTAAAAGTGTATGATATTCTCTATTAAAAAAGTGTAAAATCATAAACATAAAAAGACTGCCTAAGAAACACCTAGAACATCAAAATATTGTCGCTTAAGATTTCCAAACACAGGATGGCACACGATTCATCATAAAACAAACACATACGCTCAGATTACGAAATAAACCCTTTTTCAAAGAAAAATTGGGAGAAGAGAGGAAAAGGTAAACCAAGAAACTAAGCCATTGGCAAAGGCAAAAACAGCACTGAACCTGGATTTTGACAATTCTTTGCCGAATCAATAAAAATTCTCTTCTTTTCTTCCAACCACGGAACTTTTTCTGAATTTGCGTTGCAGCAGCATGGGCCACCCGATCAACTTGGAATGGTCTACGTGCTTTAGCAGCTATAAGTGAAATAGCATGCTCATCTGACACACCATCACCAGACTCAGTCAATTGTTTCCGCTGGAAGGATCGCATCCTGAACATTTGATATATACGATCAGCAGCTTGTGTAGCATTGCATACAGCAGTAATCGA